TCTCAATCGTGTGTCCAGCGGACCGTCACTGGTCCGCTATTTATATATGCAATGATTTTGTTATGGTTTTTAACAATTTTTTGCGATTTTTCACAAAGGTTTATTTACTTGAATTCATAATCTTCAGGAAATAAGACGTTTTGATAAAAGAAGAGAATTTTTCTACAATAAAATAACATTTCTTACTTACAATAAAACTTACAAAATGGTACTCCAACACCTCTAGAAATGTTGTACAAATACAGTTATTAATCATATTAAAAACGTTTGCACTGAAATAGATCAATCAGAAGAAGAAATTATAATTCTAACTGAAATTCTAAAATAAAAATAAATTCAAATTAACTTCATTAACAGACTTTTAAAAACTGCTGGAGTAGTCTACACTGTATAAAAAGTTTTATCTGAAAGCTCAAATAGAGAAGGATAAAGAAGAATGTTTTAGAACGTTTGTTATCAATGTAGGACTTACTGTATTCTAGTTGTCATGAGAAGCCCATGACGTGAAGACGTTTTAGTTCTCTAACCTTTGCTTCTTTTCTTCCTTTACTTTCTTTTACACATCCCTTTTATAAAAATTTTAAAAATTCTTACGAGCATTAAATTCACATATTAGGAGATTTATAACTCCCCTTCGCCAATTGTTTCCGCCAGTGAAGCCAAATTGGCAACCTTTAGCGTCGGTTTTGAATCTAACGTTTCTATTCTTTGTTTCGAAATTTTTAGTTTGATTACAGAGTTTTTTAATTTCTAGTAGATTTTGTATTTCTGTACTTTCTATACTTTTCTATATTGATCAATTTTCAGCAGCATATTGCGCGGAAATACATGGAATAATTATGTTTTTCAATAAAAACATTTTGTGATAATTATATATAATAATTACAATATTTACTTATCTTTACATTTAAATATTATTGTAGGCGAATTATAATGCGAATATAAAAATTAAATCGGTCTGCAAAATGTTTTCGTAAATTTTACCTTTCCGCGGTAAAAATCTCCCATGGGATTAAATCCTAAAACTGGGTTCAGAAGCACTGGTTTACACAATGCTATTTATGAAACTTTAAAAGTTCATAAATAAATTGCACAAATGAAACAAAATTTCGTTATACTGAAATCAGATTCGGTTCATATATTTCACAGCTTCTAACTGTGCCTAAGTTTAGTGGTACAGCAGATTTCCAACTCAAAATCCGTTTCTTTCTATACGCATGCTAATGTAATCAAGTCGACCAATCATCAGTGATATGATTGAGAACTCACGAAGGCTGATTGCATACTGACGAGGGAAAGGAAGTGAAAAGGCCGTATCATCCTTCGAGCAACTCTTGAGAGAAAACTCTCGAGCAAGAAAATCTCCCATGAGATTAAATCCCAAAACTAGGGTGGGCATTACGTTAAAGTCTACATCTTAGTTCTACGTATTATTTTCATCTTTTGTGCAAAATTGTATTGAAATACATTTGAAAATGATCGATCCTTGTGGAGAATTTTGACTGAGAAACTTTGGAAAATCGTCTCGATATTGATCTCTGCTGCAGTGAGCCAGATAGCTGTCTTCTTGAAAGATAATGATTTCCCTTTTCATTTAGCTGTGGCGTCAGTAAGATTAAGTAAAGTAATCAGAGAAGTATTTCGTTACTTCATATTACATTTCACTAACTTTGATAAGTATAACGCATTCCTGAAAGATATTTATTTGTATAAATATACAATAGTATCTAGTATCGCATAAATATTAATATGCTTCCTCGCGTATAATAAATAGGCTGCTTAAGCTATCATGTGGAGTTTCTAGATTTTCTCTTATGCTAATTGCCAAGTTATCATGTTTAATACGAGCTTGGTAAATTTACCAATGTCTCGTACTTGATGGATACATCAAATTCACTTTTGAAATGGATGATAATTGAAATAAAAATTATATATTCGTATTTCTAAACTTAAGCGCTTCTGTTTGATTACTTAATTGGTATATTTCCATCCAAATAACCCAAATAAATTATAATAATTTGGTGCAGATTTGTTACATTTTAAGTACTTAGTATTTTGCTATAACGCCTTTTAACACTTGTGTGTTTGAAGACTCTGGTTTACTTTTATATATCAGAGTGCACACATGCAAAACATAACATTCAGATATAATCTTAAAAATAATTAAACAGCATTTTGTATCAAAGAAACAGATCAGAACTCATTAAAAAATAGTATAACAAATACGTCTTAGCTAAGAACGGAAATGAAACAAAATAGATAGAAATGAACGCAAAGAGAAAAAAACCTATATACATACAGGGAGGTTGGAAATCAATTCGCATTCAAAAGCAATCATTCGGGTACCTCGCCTAAGTTTCACTGAAACCCTGGAAATATTTCTTCCAAAACGAAAATTGAATGTTTTTTCTAATCGATCCAAAATATTAGCATTGTGCGATAAATTTCTTGCTTCGTGCTTTGCGTGATAAATTTCTTGCCACTAATGATAATTGTGGCGGTTTAAAATTCCTTCAGTAAGAAGCAGGGTTCAATCGCTGAATAGGATTTGGTCAAGGAACTGCGCCCAGTCGCTATGCTTAACAATCATGGTCTCTCCAATCGCTAACCGATAATCATAAGCTTCCGCTGGTAGTTGTTAACAATAATAATCACTTTCACGAGCGGCTTGGCATATGCACTTTTGTGAATTTGGACCAGAGCTAGATTTAGACTTGATAATGCCCTAAGCTACACTCCTCACAACAATTAAAGGATATTGCGTTTTTAGGTGGATCTTGTGGCTGGGGAACTTTTTAGCTGATTGATACATGGTTGACAGACGTAGTAGGTTATGAGAATAAATTACATATGTTTGGCAGAAAAAAAATGCATTTTATTGCTCATTTGTGTACAAAAGGAAACACAATTTGTGCGTATGACAAAAAAGAAAAAGGAAAAGTGTTTTCTTCAAAGGAAATCATTTTCAGTAGGGGGTATGGTTTTCACCGACGGCCAGCAGCGTTGAACACCTTTGAGGCATGGAGACAATGAGGCTATTAATCATGAGTTGGGGTATTCTGTCCCAACTCTTCCAGAAGAGCTCTTTCAGTTCTTGGAGAGTTTGTGGGGGTGGTTGGCGGTCAGAAACTCGTCTTCCTAGAGCGTCCCAAACGTGCTCTATTAGATTCATGTCTGGAGAATACGCAGGCCATTCCATTCGTACGATTCCTTCCTCGAAAAGGAAATACTCCACCAGGTTAGCACTATGTGGCCTGCAGTTATCGTCCACTAAAATGAAGTCATCTCCGATTGCTGCAGCGTAAGGGACTACAATAGGTCTGAGGATCTCATCCCTATATCGGCGACCAGTCAGAGGTCCATCTCGAATGATGTAGAGATCTGTGCGCCCGTCAATGGAAATGCCACCATACACCAACACTCGCCCAACGCCAAATCTGACACTTTAGTGCACGAACTCAGGGTTATTCCTACTGCCACGGTCCCTCCAGATGAAAATACGCCTATTATCAGGATGAACAGAAAACGGGACTCGTCAGAAAAAAAGAATAATGCTCCATTCATTTCTCCTCCAGTTCACATGCTCTGTTGCCCACTCCCTGCGGTCGCGACGATACCTTGATGTTAGTCTAACACATACCATCCGTCGGCGAGCATACAGACCTACACCATGGAGCCGGTTTCGGACAGTCTGAATTGAAACCGTGGTACCAGTAGCCGAGCGAAGGTGTTGTTGGAGAAGAGTAGCATTCATATTTCGGTGTCTCCGAACCGTTAACACTAAATAACGATCTTCATTGGGCGTTGTTGCCCGTCTACGACCTTGCACTGGTCTTCGGCCTGCACTTCCAGTTTCCAAAAAACGGTTCCAGATCCTGGAAATCACACTTTGTGACACTCCAATGGCTTGCGCTACTTCGGCTTGAGTTTGGGCCCCTTCTAACCTACCAACAACTTTTCAAGCTTCTGAATCGGTTAAACGACTTTGCTGAGATATCGTACTCATCGAAACAAAGCACTCACTGAATGCCGATCATCCTTGTCTTCATTGTCTTTTATTCAGTTGAAAGTCAAATTTTATTCGCTGCCGCTGAAGCGACGTTTTTGACGTTGAACTCAAAATTAACATACTCCACAGTTTGAAAATCAGAAAAATTTGCATTTGTGATTCTCTTCTTCCATTTTCGGCAAAACAAATTTTGCTTATATCTTCATTTTATATAAAACTTACAATATCCTGTAATTGTTTTGAGCAGTTTATTTGAGATATGGGGCCCTTTATAAGTCTGTTATACTATATTTGTATTATATTTTAATTTTTTCGAATGGTATTTCTTGAAAAATCATACTATAAAAAAGGTCCATTAATATTGCGCCATCGTCTACATATCTTTGTAAGAAACTGATATACTTCGTAACGGAATGCGATGGGGGCATGGTAACGCAATGTCAGACATGGAATAGATTGTGTAGGCAGTCAGCTTGTTATTACATTTAATTTTGCAAGTATTACGGTTTTTATTTTGTATATTATTCTTAGTTTAATGCGCAAGATGTTAAATCTTTAAATATGACAGTATGCTTAAATATGACAGCAGCTTAGGCTCACCTGCTTTTTACAGTTCGAATTTTTGCAGGTATTTAAAACATGCTGCAAGCATGTCCTATTTAAAGGAATTTTCAAAAAGTTAAAATCAGAGTTTACTTTCACCTGTGCAAAAGTAGACTTTGAAAGCTATTTTTTATCTTATTTGTAACAGCAAAAGTCCTCTGTTAATTCTTTCTGTTATCGAAATTATACTATATTAATGCATATATTATGTAAAAGTAGGTTGCTCTTTAAAGAACTTTTATGAAGAGAGTGAAATCTGTGTTTAGTTACGCTTTTCCAATTTTTCATGTATTCATATTAGACGTTTATAAAATAAACTTTTAAAATATTTAATGTTGTTTTAAGCATAGCACTGTTTATTTATTAATACTTGACCTTTTCGTTTCAGAGGCATGGAGAAACAACAGGCGGATTCTTTGCAGAAATCGCCTGTACCTAAGCCCGTCACATCTACAGATACTGAAATTAATGGACAAAGTACCCAAGTTCTTACTAATGGTTCTCATCTAGACAAAAGCCCAGAATCTACCGAGAAGTTACCTTCAGCCACATATCAAGACGGAATACCGTGTAAAGAATCCTTTGTTGATAAGAAGCCCATAGAAAGTGCCGATTTAGATGAGAAAACAAAAACTGAAGTTAAAAAATCAATAGATGGAGAAGAGGTACCTCACGCAATCATATCAGTAGACATCCAGAAAAGTATGCCTTATGAAAAACATGCAGTTCCTCAGGAAGTGGGAAAAGATTCCAAAGGGGATGTACCACCTGAAGTATTGGCTTCTGTAGTTACAACCGCTGTAGTTAATGAAGCTGCATTGACTGTCAGCGGTACAGACGCTAGTATAATCAATGGTACTAAAATAGTGAGTGATTCAAGTAAAGTTGATGCAGTAGTTGAACAAGAGCTAAGCAAAATGAGTGATTTAAAGACTGATAATATTGAACTTCAAAACGGAGAAGAAAGTTCCAAACCCATACTAAACGGCGATATTGACCATTCTCCTCTTAGCGAAGATACTACTGCAGAAACGGCATCACATTTAACTGAAACATCAACATCTTCGAAAGAGGAAATCAAAGCGACGAAAGAGGTAAGTGATAAGAAGGACACCACACATCCAATTAAATTAGAATCCGAATTACCGAAACAAAGCATATCAGAAACTAGTAGTAAATTAGAAGATACAAGTGTTGAAAAAAGGCAATCTATAGATGGTGGGCAAGTTAATGGAGTGCCAGGGATTATTACCGTAGAATCCATTACTAAACGAGAATCTACTGAAATTTTCCGTGGAGAAGAAATAGGTTCAGTTACAGATGCTGATAAGCAAAAATACAACATTGAGACAATGACTTCAAATTCAGTTACTTTATCTGAAGATTTAGAAAACGTTAAAGGAGTGCCAGGAAACGTAAAAGAAACAGACGCCAATAAAAATGAGCCAGAGAGCTCTGAGAAGTTATCAAAGCCAGATGAAATGAAATCAGACAAAGAAACCAAAGTAGAACTTCCAAGCATAGAACACAAAGTCGCCGACGATAATTTAACAGACAGCGCGAAACTGTTGCGCGAAAATTTAACTGATAGCGCAAAACTCAAAACAGAAATAACTGAAAAACCGAAAATTGAGCCATTAGTTAAATCCGAAAGTGAAATAATTATGGAGGTGCATAAAACCAAAATCGTTGACGCCGCCGTAGATAAATCAAAAGAAGAAACGCCTCAAAAATCCAAAGCAGAAAATATAGAACAACAAGACAAAAAAGAAGAAGATAGCTCCAAATCTAAAGATCAAGTTAAAAAGGATGATACGCTCTATGCGGCAAAACTTGATGAAGGCAAAATTGAAGAAAAAGGCGCGAAAGAAAGCAAAGACCTTGAGCAAAAAAGTGAAGTAATAAGTGAAAAAGACAGTAAAGAAAGCAGTTCAGCTACTGAAGTTGAGACTTCCACATTTCTTGAAAAGAAAGAAATAGACCAAAAAGACATTACCTCAGATGAAGCTTCACCAAAAATATCTCCACTTCCTGATGAATCCATCAAAACAAAAGAAATCTGTGATATACAGACTACGAAATCACCTTCTCTAAGTCCTAAGAAAACTAAAACAGAAGAAGGAATTTCACCGTTTATAACATCTGTACCCATCTCAGAAGAAGGCAGTAAATCGGAAGGTGTTGCATCCGAGCCACAAACCGAGAAATCTATAGCTGAAGAAATGGCTGAATCAAACAAAACTTCTGAAACCGTCTGTGATATGTCATTGATGATGACGTCACAAATTCTAACACCAGAGCTTCTCAGTGCCGAAGAAGATACAGAATCTATCGAGAAAACTAAGGAAGTGTCTGAAACACTCATTTCGGGAGAAACCAGAAAAGATGACACACGAGAGAAGTCTCTAGAGAAATCTGACGTTACAGAACTACAAAGAGAGGAGAGCTGTCGAATATCAGCCGCGAGATATTCACCAGAGACATGTGACGTAGCAGTGGGGCTGGATGAACACAGAATGATTCGAGTAGCAGCTGGAGATGGAGGAGAAGAAGAGGTAAGCTTTTATTTCAGATATTTTTTCAGATATTCACTATTTGAAACTCTAATAATGTTGTGATAAAACATTAGTTTCGAGATTATCTTTGCATTTGAATTTTAAATTTTGATTGCGAGCAAATAAAATCGTCTAAAAGTATTATCTAAAAACATAAACATTTTCCTTTTTCAAATTAATGTGTTTATTATTATTATTTCAACGTTAACTAATGAGGCGGCATATTTCAAAAGCAAATATACATGGTATTTGAATATAAAAATGATAAAACTGAAAATAATTCATAGTATTAATTATAAAGGGAGTAATATAAATTGTCATTATTTAATATGAATGATATTCAGTATTTTTATAAAAATATTCCACTCAAATAAAGTAATGAATTTAGAAACGTAGTCGAAATTTTAATTCATGTTCGATTTTGCGTTACATAAAACGCATAAATTAATTTTTATTATGAAATAACTACACTAACAATTTAACCATTATAATAGAAGTTAATATGAACCTAAAACATTACTTACTAAAACGACCTTCAACTGTTGCTCTACGTCGGTAACTCTGAAATGTTTCAAGCAGAGACAGACAATAAGTACTGAAAATAATGGTTTGTTAAATTTATAATTCTGCTAACTGCTATCGTAAAATAAAGTGTTTAAGAAAGGAAAATAGAAATGACGCGAAAACATTATCGCTGTATGATTTTCTAAGATCTGAAAGTGGGGATAAATCAAAACGATCACCTTTAACGTCAGCAGCTAACACATGGAAATTAAACTCCATCTTGTGCTACTGTATTCAGATATTTTACAGAATTACAACTCATCAAGAAGGGAAATATGGGTTTTTTGAAGATGGCTTATAACCAACCATGGTGAAAAGACAACAAGCAATAAAAAACGTGACGTTTTCTGTTTTCTTCAAAAGGTGAAAGCCATCAGGTTAGAAAGATAAAGGACCGTTACAGCTATCCGGTAGACCACTAAATGTCTTCCAGAAATTCTTTAATAAATGAATAGAAAGGGACTCAGTCTTCACTATGATGATGCATCTTCTTATTAAGCAAGACTTACAGTCAAATTTCTTGAACAAAAACACATCAAAGTGATAGAACATCCACCTTATTCTCCTGACCTTGCTATGCGTGACTTTTGACTATTTTTTAATCTAAAACAAAATTTAAATTATAAGGTATTTCTCCCGCCTTCTTAGCAAGCCTTCGTGGTGTAGTGGTCTGCACGCTCAACACGTAATTGAGAGGTCCGCGGTTCGATTCCCGGCGCAGGCGTTGCAAATTTTTCATTTCTCCTGCTTCGAAAAAATACGTAATGGCTTTACAAAATGATCGTCGTTTTTTTCCAAAGATTAAGCTATGAAAACAGATTTTTCATCTACCAAGAAATGGATATTTTGAAACATTTAATCTTTGAAAAATTCGCCTACAGAAGTGCATTGATGTTAGAGAAAACTACTTTGGTAATTTTATCTTGTGCAGTTTAGCTGTATTTGAAAAATTTCTTAGTGACACTTGTACTATATGTGGCATTAATATTCATATTCTAAACCAAATTAAATAATAAGTTGATAGTAAAAGTCTAAACCAAATAAAATTCGAACCAGTATTCGGGGCAAGAACACCTACAAAACAAAATCTGTTTACTGTATTACCTTTAAATTATGCGTGATTAAATAATTGTTCTCTCATTCTCTTTCATGCTTATTAAGCTGCTCTCTCATTAAAATTTATTTTACTATTTTATTCAGAAATTTTGTCAAATTTGAAGAACTTGCATTTTCACTGTGTCGTGGTTCGACTTTAATTCGTTCCCTTCCGTGCTTCGTATTTCAAAACCTTTTTTTTTTTTTTTTTCATTTTATCTTATGAGAAATAATTTAATTAATTCTCGTATACAGATTTTTTAATTAATTCAGTCAAAATTAATTAATTACGTTAGTGCTTTTATGTAGAATTTTTTAGTATTATTCATAAAAGCTTTGATTTTACATGCTTACTATAAAAATAATCATTAATATTTTTTTAAATATTAATTTTTCTTTTGTTTTTATTAGCTGCTTTCTGCAACTAATAACAAGAGAAAGAGATTTAAAAGTCTCTCTTACGATGAATGAATCTATGGTTTGTTTGACCCCTTTGTAAAGTTATTATGACATGATTATTGAAGATATTGGTGGCTCTAGAAACAACAGCTTGATCTAGATTAGTACTTCTAATCCGCTTTCTGTCCTTTTTTTCTTATTTCTCCCCTTTTGTTGCTATCTTCTTTATTCTCTGAAGGTATTTTCTTTTCCTTCTTATCGTCTTTTTCTGCTCATGAATCAATCTACTGTAGCTCTTCAAATATCACCTTGTAGAGTCATTAGGTTTATTTCGGAAGCAGGAGAGATGAAAAATATGCAACGTCTTCGGCGGAAATCGAATCGCGGACCTCTGGAATACGCGCCCAGGGTGCAGACCACAACACCACGAAGGCATGCCAAGAAGGCCGGAGAAATACCTTATATACTCCCCCTTTTAAAGGGTGACTGGGAATTTCAGCGGACCCAATCGCCAAATTCTGGGTGGGGAGAATCATCATCCACCACTCTTTTAGTTCGGGCGCCACTTATAGAGACATTAGGTCATTTGGAAAGCAGGAGAGATGACAAACATTCAACGCCTTCGCCGACAATCGAACCGCGGACCTCTGGAATACGTGCCCAGTGTGCAGACCCCCACACTACGAAGGCATGCCAAGAAGGCGGAAGAAATACCTTATAACCTCAACGTTGTTTTCCTCTACCAACTCTTCTCTATCTGCTTTGTTAACTTTTAAAAGCACAGTTTTACTCCAGGAAATAATAGTATTTACAAACTCTCGCTTGCCTGACCTTCGCACATTTTAGGACACAGTCGAGACATATGTTTTTCACATGAGTATAGTGTTTGCTCAGAAGCCTCTTTTCTCGCTTAATTAATAAGATGCAAACAATAAAATATTTAACTAGTACATATATGAATATATTTTCACGCAGTGAATGAGATATAAATAAAGTTCGTATCTCAAGAATAAATTCGCATCCAGAGGCTAACATGAGATGTAAAAAGGTTTGCCTATTAAAACCCTCTGGGCGGCCCGGGGTTTCGCTAAGAAAGCACAAATTTCCCAAAACTACTATGAGAACAAATTATTTTTTTTTATTTTAATGCAAAAACTCTCCTGGTATTTCATACCTGGATTTACTCTCTTTTGATATATTGCCTTAGTTCCGTTGACATATTTTAATATGCAGATATATATACGTTCTTACAGATATCGCAATAAATATTCTAGAACGTATATATACGGCCTTGCCGCTTAGAGGGTAAGACGATCGTTAGTCGAGGTACCACTGACTTTTCACTGTAATCGCTATTTTCTAATTTTAAAGTGAGGATGATACAGACGTACAGAGTTACAGTGAAACGTGCTGTGACTATAATACGTGTATTTTGGTACAATATAAATATCATAATAAGGGAAAAATAATTTATTTCAAAATGTAATGAATCTTTTATGCACCCTGTTCAATAATTATTGTTTGGCTGGAAAGTAAGAATAGCACGTAAGTAGATTGTAACTTTTTGGTTTGGTTTGGTTTATTTAATTACGGCAAAGCACACTAAGGCTATCTGCGTAAGGGGAGGGACGCCTTCGTGAAGGACCTTCTAAGGGAGTTGGGTTGTATACACGTTGCACATGGGAAAAACCACGAAAATGCCGATTCAGCCAGCCCGTTCCCGGGATTCAAACTTCGAACCGAACTACCAACGTTCAGCGAATTTACCTCTCGGCCGTTGGTGGGCCTTAGATTGTAACTGTCTTATATTGATTTTACAGTATCTCAAACACACAGTTATAAAATTAATAACTCACGGCTTTCAACGTCGATTCATAGTCTCTCTCGTATGCTGACTCTTATCCACATCACAAGTCGCGTGGTGGCAGACACGAACATACATACTTATAGTCGGACTTTCAACACATAAATCACACATACAAACCAAAAATAAGATAACATGAATTTCAGTTACATAACCATACTTTATGTGCATCATATTCAGTACTAAAATAACTATGAAGGCAATACTCACTTTTAGTTCCTTGTACAAAATAAAGGTAAAGTACGCACAGATATCACGAAACTGTACGAACGTTCCCCACGTATAGTTGCGTGACATCCTTACACACAGGCAGAATAAAGGACTGTTTTTACCATAAAAGGATTGTAAAGTGGATTCGTATGCATCTCGCAAAACCTGAAGAACAAATAGCCGCAAAACGTTATCATCCGCCACCTTTTTAGTTAGGGCGCCACTGTGGAGTCTTTATTCAGAATTTTCGGGTTCAGGAAATTAAATAAATCTGCACTTCCTTTGCCGGGACTCTAACCGTGGACCTCTCAAATACTCGCCGAGTGTGTTGCTGTTACACCACGAAGGCATGTAGAAAGAAGTAGAAAATACTTTATGTACTATCGCTTTTGAATGGCGACTGGGAATCACGGGACCCAATCGCCAAATCCTGGTGCTGACGAATCATCATCCACCACCTTTTAGTTCGAGCGCCACTGTAGAGTCATTAGGATTTTTTTTAATGCGGGAGATATGAAACACGAACAATGCTATCGCTGGAACTCTAACCTGGACCTCTCACATACGCGCCGAGTGTTCTACCGTTACACCACGAAGGCATGCAGAAAGGAGGAAGAAAATGCTTTATAAAAAGTGTACGGATTATGTACTTTTAATATTACGGTTAAGGTTTGTCTGCCATTCGTTAATTTGCTTGCAATACTTATAGAATTATCAACAATTTAAACTTTGAGTGACGAGTTAAGTTAAAAACAAACCGCCATTTGTTTACATTTGAAATTCAGTAGAATAGTGAATTAATTTCTCCAACTTCAATGTCTTTCTTCCGAGCGGAACTAAAAGTAAACTTTCAGTTTTGTGCACCGAA